GAGGGGGGGGGGGGGAAGACTTGGTGCATGTCGAATCGGGCGGAGCTCCCACCCGTGCTACCACCGCAGCACCCCGAACCGGCACCCTCTGCACGATTCCACCGATAAAACAGTATCCTTGAACGTGTCTTGCGCACGCGAGTGTGTGGGTGGGGGGGGGGCTGCTTTCTCCTCTGCTCCATGCAGTGCTGTCGTATACATGTGTCTCGGTACTTCGTGGGACATCGGAACACACATAAAACGTTCCGCACGTATCCCGGGCACAACGTACGAGAACTCAGCGCAAAGGAACATTATATCGGACAGACTAAAACAAAGCGCCAAGGCTGTGTACGGTCTTAGGGGGGGGGAAACACCGACTCGAGTCCTCACGTGCAGGGGGAAAATCGATTGCACACGCCGTACCGCACAAAAGAACAAAGCAAAACACCCAACCAGAATACTGGATATCGTACACTGGATAACGTACACCGCGGTGGGAGAGATAAATAAAAAACGAAATTTCAAGAGCGGGTCATCAAGACTTGGAATCAACAGCGTTGACTTGGCAGTATCTTGGGGATTGGCGTGCGGGGTTGGGTAAAGGCTCTCAACACCTGAGACACATGTAACGTTGCTCGATCCCCCCCCCCCCCCGATCTTTGTCCTCACCTTGCCCGAGATGTAGTCATCTACCAACCCAGGCACCTGCGACCTAGACTTCCACCCGCCGAACGCCGTGCCCTTCCAAATCCTGACCATCAAAAGGAAAACGAGAGAGATCAACCACGCAGGTAGACAATGATGTCTGCACTACGAGACCGTGTTTCGGGATCGGGGGGCGGGCGGGATACACGGCGGTAAATGGCACCTCCGGTTCTACACTTTGAAGCTCTCGTCCCACCACAATAACACAGCAGTTTGGTCAAATAATCCTCGTGACGAACATTAACATGAGCGTGATTTTCATCAATCAAACAAGTCTACGCATGCCGGTATTTTGACTGAGTGGTCTCCCCTCGTATCGTGTTTCATGTCACATCGTGGCAAGAAATACAAGGATGTAAGACATGAGATACTATTGTTGAGAGCGGGCCGACCCAACCCACCCGACGGCAACGGGCTGCACGGGACTAACCGTAGCATATCGTAACATTTCGCGGGCCCAAGCACCTGATGCCAACACCCCGTGACAACGACCACTGGCCAATCAGCAAAAGGCGGCACCAACACAAGACACACAAAACAAGACAAGGAAAGAAAGACACACGGACACGCATGCCCCGAACCAGATGCCGCGTGCCCCCCACCACCTACCTTCCGGTATCGAACTGCATGTTCTTGACTATATACCGCCCCCCCCCGCCCTCCCTTACCTTCCCGTAACCAGCTGGAACGGCCTCGTGGAGATCTCGTGCCCTGCCGCGGCCACCCCGATGATGCACGACTCCCCCCACCCCCTGTGGGCAGCCTCTAGGGCGGCTCGCATGACGCCCGTGTTTCCCGGTGGCCTCGAAAAGTGTAGTCGACGCCCCACTTCGTTTCCTTCACGAGGATCTGCGATTCATGGCCCGGGGGGGTACGGGTTCAGACCACGGGCATTTTCGGTGAGTTGGGGGAGCGCAACTTTCCCCCCAAGTACCTCTCGTTTCGAAGGTTCTTAACGGCTTCTAAAAAGGGGGTCATGTGGATGGGGAGTATGCAGTGGTGGCGGGGGGGGGGGGGGGCAGGTCTTTCGTAAAAAGGGTGTGACGGAGACCAAGATCTGTGATCAGCCTTTTAGGAGAAGAGCAGTCACTGCGTGGTGCTGCAAAGCAGTAGATATTTAAAAAGCTCGTCCCCAACAACGACATCGCCTCGGCGAAACTACAGCAGTACACGCTATCGAGCTTCTCGAGGGCACAGTAACGTAGGAAATGGGTTTGGCGCTTGGTTACAATACTACCCTAACGGTCCGCTTTCCTTCCGTACTTTGGAATCCGGACCAAGATCTCCTAATTCCTTGGTGGAGTAACAAAAAAAACATTTTGGCAGGCAGGCCGACACAAAACTAAGTAGGCACCTCTCTGTGTACAGCAGAAAACAAACAAAAACAAACGAACCGCTTGTGCTCCACGTATGTTCGAGGCGGCCAACACGACAAACGTGGCTACTTGATGGCAGGGTGCTGCTCTCTTTGTCCTGAAATGTGCAAAGCTTTTCTACGATTACTCTTCTATTTAGGGCACTCACGCACTGGCATGGTGCAGCTCTCTCTGTCATGTAATCAATACATATTGTTGTTGTTTATCACCTGCTGGATAGGGGTTTCGCTGTCCTTGGGGTTGAGGCAGTCCGTAGCGCCGAGCTGCTTGGCCAGTTCGAACTTGGACGGGTTTGTGTCTATCGCGAAAATCCTAGAAGCTTTTCTCGCCTTAGCTGCCTGCAACCAATCACCACAAACAAGGACACGGGGGGGGAGGGACACGAGAGGCCGAGGGGGGGTGACGGGAGGTCGCCTGATAATCGGTCAGGGATAATATTCTCCCCTTGCTTACTGTTGGACGAGACATCATTTTCCGGGCGACGGCGGCCCGTACAATGCCCGACCAAGCAGGGGGTACGTTCCCGTGTTGGGCAAAGCAGAAGCAGGAGGACGGAGGAAAAATACGGCTTCGTCAGCCCTCGGTCCTACAGCACATGCCTGCGCCATTTGTTGCGAGTCAGTTGGACCAGCACGGATGTTAAAAGGTACGCGGTAAGAGACCAGAACGAGCTGTTAACGTGCACGCAACATCAAGGTTTTAGTACCTGTAGCGCGGCGAGTCCAACCGCCCCCAGCCCGAAGACGGCTACGGTCGACCCTTCCTCCACGTCGCAGGTGTTCATCACGGCGCCGAAGCCAGTCGCGACGCCGCACCCGAACAGGCACACCTGTTGTCTCCGAGGAGGCAGGCACACATACACAGAGAGAGACAGACAGACAGACAGACAGACAAGAACAGCAACAGACAGACGGATGCGTGAAGGCGGGGGGGGGGGGGGGGGGGCCCCGGTTTGTCTTCCATTACTTCTTGGAAAAAAAAAAAAAAATTTGGTCCATTAAACCAAAAAAACACCAAAAAAAAATGGGGGGGGCTGGGCCCCGGGCAAACCAAAAGGGGGGGACCCCCCCCTTTTGGGGGGGCCCCCAACCCCCCCCAAAACCCCCCCAGGGGGGAAACCCACACCCAAAAAAAAAAAAAAGTGGGGCAAGGGGGAGTTT